GGGGGGGGGTAACAAGTTGTATTAGTGCGACACAAGTGCAAAATATTTTTGGTGATCTGTAATTCCAGAAACATTTTATAATGCATATGTATAGCTACGTAAACATTGCATCATGTCTTAGAAGAATGTCTCTAGAGTCTAGCGTGCCGTCTTTTGCTGCGATACAAATAGTTGTCAACACCTATGAACTATTAATGAAAGGATGGGCAGACATGACAGAGGTTCTTTAGCTGTCACGCCAAAGTGTTTCAAATTCAGTAGGCGTGGACTCGTATAGTTTCTTTCACACATAGAGCTGGCACTAGAGAATATCTGCAAACGTTTCATGATTTTACTATGGAAGAACAAGTAGTGTATGCCTTGCATGCCTTGCATAACATACGTTGGAAGCCTTCAAATCCCAATGCATGCAGTCACTCAGTCACGATTAGCAACGGAACTGGCACGCAATAGTATTTCTTGAGACAATATAATTTACCTTCGTAAATATTCCTGTTTCAAGGGCGTTACCTACTCCTGTTACTACCGGTATTGGAGCATAGCCTCTACCAGGCACCGCGGATCGCTGGAAAAATAGTAGAAATTGGCCGAAATAATGGGATAGTATACCAGAGAAGATCCAAGGCCATAGAATCTCCAATTTTGCGATCCGTGGGTAGCAAATTGGAGCTTCTATGGCCCTGGATCTTCTCTGGTATACTATCCCTTTATTTCGGCCAATTTCTACTATTTTTCCAGCGATCCGCGGTGCCTGGTAGAGGCTAGTTGGAGCATTCAAAAGCTGTTGAACAACAACAGTGAAAATGTCGAAGGCTCTCATTTGCGAACTCTGACCTTTGACCTTTTTTGTGTCAGACGACCGACAGGTGGGTTTTTCGTCGTGGGTGTGGCGTGGCAACATATCGTCATTCTCTGCGGCACTAGACGAACTTTTGTGACACGTTCAGTGTGTTTTTAACATTCCAGGTGGGTCATGGAGTTAGATTGTGTTATCGCAGTCTTTTCCTAGCCTTCAGCAGGATTCTGAAGTGGCTGAAAAGAGATATTGATGTTTTTGTTGTTGTTGTTGTCTCTGCTTTACGTCCATTTTTCCGCTAGACATGGTCCATTTCCTGGTGCCTAAGTTGGTTCGCTTAGGAGTACATTCAGTGCCACCGCACCAACTCCCCTGGCATGTTATCTATATGGCCAATTTCTTCTCTTTCCAGCCACTTTCGAAGACCTATAGAGGCTAGTCTTTCCCTCTTTTTTGTGTTCTTGACTTCTTGGGAGGGTGTCCTTTTATTGTAATACCGTACTTGTATCTATCGGGTAAAATACGCCGTTCCGAATACTGTACTCATCGACATGGTGACTTCAGCCGAAGTTATGTACACGAGGCTATTGTTTTACTTGGGTGTGTTTACCTGAACCCGGGTATTTATTCTGCAGATCTGTAGTCTGTTTGATTTGTCGCCACAGTCACTGAGAATCTCTCAATGAGTGCAATGAACCGTGACGGAGCATGAGTAGTACAGAAGGGGCAGAAAGAGTCAATTTTTTTAGGCTGGTTTGAAAGATCCAGTACGATGTCTACATTGACCTCCAGTTCCATACCTACGCATGGATACTCTTTGTTGCAGAGTTTTGGTCTACTCGTAACGTTCACTACCACAAGTCACCATGCCGGCTCTGAATTCAATGACCGTCTCGTTTGAGAAGAATATGGACGTCTTCCAAGCTGGACAGATCGTCAGGGGACAGGTGGACGTGGATCTTAAGGAAGACATGAAGATGAGAGGTATTTTTTAGCTTTAATTCTTCAGGTAGACAGTAATAAGTTTGATGTGATTGTTTATCTTCTTTTCAAGATAGGTATTGTCCTTAGAAAACGATTCCTTAATATGATGACTGGTTTACCTCTGCTACATGTAGCTATATTTGTAAGAATATGTCAGATTTACTGTGGTTTTAGAGAGTACTTTTGTTCTTGTCCTCCTCTTATGCCAGGTCCTCAGCTACATATAGTACATATCATGCAACGACCTTGCGATTCATCCTTCAAGCTGCGTTAGGGTTGGTCAGTCGTCACCAGCCAATCACGTCGCCGCCTACGATCAAGAAGCAAGGTGATTGGCTGGTAACTTCCCCTCCAGAGGGGGGAGTATCTAATTGGTTGACGGCAGGCCAGCGCTAATGCTGCGAGAAGCACGGCGCGTAGATCTTTGTTGAAAGGTCTCCCGTGCCCTTATGCAGAGCGTAGGGTGGTGCCCATATCCATTTCTGTAGCCCTTGGGCGACACACAGTTGTGCAATGCACTACAGCAGGGGGCTGGTCCGCTGGTAGTGCTGTGTGTTTGACCTTCCCACACTCTTTCTCATATGTGCTGAGTGCTAAGCAGAGAAAGAAGTGTGTACCATTTTTTAAAAGTCTTTGGTATGACCCGGCCGGGGATTGAACTCACGACCTCCCGGTTACAAAGCGAGCACTCTACCAATTGAGCTATTGCACCGGTCAAGTAAAAATAAACATGTCTTTCAACATTTCTATCATTAGGCATCAACATAAAACTGAAGGGCTCTGCAAAGGTTCACTGGACGGTCCACACGGGTAAAACAACTATCTATTACCACGGCAGGGAATCCTACTTCGATGACACGATGTCACTTTGGGGCCAAGGTAAGACACGTTCTATCTACACATTAGGCCCACTCTAGACGAAGCATTTCGCGAGCGGCGGCTTCGAGCAGCGGCGATATTTCCCGCTGTCGGGACGCCGCTGTCGCGACGTCTTTATACACACAAATGTCTTCGCATCGAACATCGAACATCCGAATGTTCTAACGCGTGAAATCCAAAATGGCGGGGGAGCCGCCAATGTTTTTCCTCGCCGTGTGTCAGATGTTTTTCTTTATGTTAGTCACTCGCGTCTTGTCCAATATGAGGCGACGAGCAAGGGGTGCACGCAGGAGACGGTTGAGATACCGGGAGATGTTGCTGACACGTCGCGCCCTGATTACCTCCCCGCTGCCATTGCTTTGGCAAAAGGTGGTGATCCTGTCCACCGGAGGATCTGGCGATACGTTAAGAAAC